CACTAACAACTCATATCATAATTAAATTCGTCTAGTCTATGAGGTTTCGGTTTCGGGTTTGAGCTGTGTTTAGTACATTTATGGCTGATCCTGTTAAGGTGAACTTGTGAATGTAGTAGCAACAACTTTTAACTAATTTATCATATCCGAATCTTAGGGGTTCTTCAATTTTACATCGCGGAGGCCGCAACATCTATTGCAAATTTTGGAGCTAGGTTACAATGTTATGTACAATGATGTTGATATGGTATGGGTACAAGATCCGTTTCGGTATTTAGAGGGAAACCACGACACATACTTCACCGATGACAGGACTACAGTATGTGAAAAATTCTCACTACAAATCTCCTTGACATTTTTTAGTGTTTTTACTAAATCTTTATTTCTCCGGTTGATGTTTGGTGCTAGATTAAGCCTTTGAATCACTCCCATGATTTACCAATTCCGGATCGAAATGGAGTGACTTATATATGTAGCTGCATGATTTTCTTGCGTCCCACTTATGGCGCAAAGCTTCTAATGAAGAAATGGATCGAGGAGCTTCAGTCTTCGTCCAAATCATTTGAAGGAAATGATCAACCTGCTTTTAATTGGGCACTTAACAAAACTGCTCATGAGGTTTTTATGATATTAAAGCTTAAAATAACCTTTTTCTACTCGAATGTAATTTTCACTCGTTTTCACTCTAGAATGTAATTTAAATTGTTTTCAACTCTTTTTGTGATCTTAGGTGGATCTCTACTTGCTTCCTCAAGCAGCTTTCCCAACAGGAGGATTGTACTTCAAGAACGAGACATGGGCTAAAGAGACAAAGGGGAAACATGTCATAATCCACAACAACTACATTATCGGTTACGCCAACAAGATGAAGCGTTTCCATGACTTTGGTCTATGGCTAGTCGATGATCATGCTCTTGAGTCACCTTTAGGAAAATTAGAGTAAATTCTAATGGTTTTGTTATGTGCGAGTGTTATGTGGCTAATTCAATATAGAAGAAAAACAGAGGAATAAACCGTAATATTTTCGTGGCTGACTAATTTATGACCAAATTCATAAGGTTGATGACTTTATAAGGTGTGAACGGATTTGGTTAAACAATAATTAAAGATCGGTTAAGTGACGATTTACTAGTTGATTATAGTTGTTCACGTAAAGAGAAGCTTCTGGTTTTTGCCAAACATTAGAATACAAAAATTAAAAAAATATGACGGAATTTTTGGAGTAAAGTCAGAAATGACAAATCGAAAAATATGTAAGCAGTTGAAATCTAATGACTTAACAGTTTTATAATGTAAGAGGTCACTTTCTGTATGAAAGGTGTAATACAAATGACATGTAAAATGGTTAAGAAAACAAACAGAGTTATAAAACAATTATGCACGCAACCAATATTATCATGTGATCAGATATTTTTGTGTACAAAAATGAGACCACTTGCTTCACACACGTTACGTGACCATGTCCCTAAGGACCCAATTTGATATTCTTATTATTCATGAAATTGTTAATTGGAGAAACGTTTTTAGCAGTATACTATTTTTTTGGAAAAGTTTAACCAATATCTATGGTGATAAACCAAGTCGCT